AGATGATTTACTAAGTAACCATCTACTTGTCATTAGAGGTGGCCAGACAAGGTCTGGAAGACATTCTGTGAGAGATGGTGTGGAGGGAATTCTTGCATAGAGCAGAGAGTTGAGTTAGATGACTTCTAGCAAGGTGCCTTCAGATTGTGAGATTCTGTTGCTCACATATTATGTTAATAATGTCCTTTATATGGTCAAAGTTCATATGGTCTTCTATGTGTTGTACTATTTTATGCTTTGAGGTATTGATGTGGTCCATCTTAGAGCAAAGGCTATTGGAGAACAGGAACTGTATTTGTTTATATTTATATTTAAATATATTAATATTTGTCTAACTTGTTAGTATAATTCATTTAATAAGATCATAAAATTAGATCTGGAAAGGACCTTAGAGGCCATTTAGTCCAATCTCTTTATTTTACAGTTTTAAAAAATGAGTCCCCAAGTTATTAAATTGCCTAAGATTATATAATAAATAAAGAGCTAGGAGGCTCAGTGAATGGAGTGCCAGGCCTGAAGTTAGGAAGAAAGACTCTTCTTCCTGAGTTCAAATCTAACTTCAGACATTTACAAGCTGTGGAACCTGAGGCAAGTCACTTTAGACACTGTTTGCCTCAGTGTTTTTATCTGCAAAATGAGCTGGAAAAAGAAATGGCAAACCAGTCCAGTATCTTTGCCAAGAAAACCCCAAATGGGATCTCCAAGAGTCAGATATGTCTGATAAACGAATGAACAAGATGGACTAGAATTTGGACTCAAATCCTGTGAATCCAAGTCCGTTACTTTTTCCACTGTATTAGGTTGCCTTAAGTCTGTATGTGGCTGCCCACTCAATATTGTTGATGATATTGATGACAAATCTAGAGTTCTTGAATTCCAGCATTTAGCTATGATAGCTAGCTACTCCTAGCTACTCTGCAATTTTTATTGGGAAATTATATTTGATTTTTTTTGGGGGGGTAAAGAGAAATTTGATTTGATTTGCAATGTGGTATAATATAGCAGTTCTCAAACATTTTAGTCTCAGAATTCCTTTACATTCTTAAAAATTAACCCCAAAGGACTTTTGTTCATGAGAGTTATATCATCAATATTTTCCTGATCTCCTCTTATCTTTCTAGTCTTCTTACATCTTACTCCACCCACCCCCCACTCTGAGATCTAGTAATACAATAGATCCGGAAGATAGTGTTGGTTCTTTAGCTCAATATTGAAATACAAACTGGCCTCCTGGCTGTTCCTCAATCAAGAAACCCCATCGCCTAACTCTGGGCATTTTCACTGGCTGTTCCCCATGCCTGAAATTCTTTCCCTCCCCATGAGTATCTCTTGGCTTCTCTGGCTTCCTTCAAGTCCCAACTAAAAATCCCACATCCTGCAGGAAGTTTTTCCCAATTCCCTTTAAGAGAATTTTAACTTTAAGGTTAATGCCTTCTTTCTATGAATCATCTCCAATTATCCTACACATAGATTGTTTCTACTTCATTGTTTTTATGTTGTCTCCCCCATTAGACTTAGGAGCAGTTTCTTGAGAGCAGGCATTGCCTTTGCCTTTCTTTGTATATCTTCAATGCTTATCACAGTGTCTGGCTTATCCTAGACCAGGAGCGGGGAATTTGTGGCCTCGAGGCCACATGTGGCCCTCTAAGTCCTCAAGTGAAGCCTTTTGACTGAATCCCCATCCCTATACTTGGCTTTTAATGAATGCTTATTTACTGACTGACAATATTAAAAATGAAAACTGATCAAATTAAAAATGTTTATTAAATTCATTTAATACAATATAAATCTATTACATATCAATATGACGTATTTTGATGAAAATAACGTATTTTCCAAAAGAAAAAAAATTGTGAGAAGAGTAGCATTGTTTTACAAATTTTTGCAGTTCTCTTTAGTGTCTGGCTCAACAGAAGATCATTGGATTTTCATGTCTGCTTCTGTATTCAATCTATTGCTATATATTGTTTTGGTTGAAGTATATGGCCTTACTCAAAGAAGTATTGGAAAAGGGAGGAATATTTTAATAGACAAATTACATCTTAGAATTATTATGAAAATAATTTAGGTCTCATAGACCTCCCGAAAGGATCTTGGACACCCCTGGGGTCTACACACCACATTTTGGAACTTCTGGTATAGAGGAAAGACACAAGACAAGAAACTAGATCTGGGATCAAATTCTTGTTCTGTTCCTTACTAGCCATGTGATTTTGTTTGTTTGTTTGTTTTTAGGCAATTGGGGTTAAGTGACTTGCCCAGGGTCACACAGCTAGTGTCAAGGCTGGATTTGAACTCAGGTTCTCCTGAGTTCAGGACCAGTGCTCTATCCACTGCACCACCTAGCTGCCCCCAAGCCGTGATTTTGAATAAATCACTTTCTCTGAAACTCAGTTTCCTTATATGTAAAATGGAGAAAATAATATCTTCCCTCCCTATCTCAAAGGGTTCTTGTGAGGATAAAATGGGAGAATGGTTATAAAAGCTCTTTTTAAACTGTAAAGCATTATGCAAATAGAAGGCATTTTAAAAAATTATCCATTATGGAAAGTTTGCTAGGAAAAAAAAAAGAATTCATATTTTTAGTTTTGTACTAAGGGACCAGTGCTGTCTTCTGGATACGTGATGGATTAGTCTTTGAAAATCAGCAGATATTAGAGTGTAATATGCAGTGTTATGATTTCTCTTTGTTGATGCAGAAAAAAAAGAAAATGATAGCGGGATTCAGGAACAATTTGGTTTAAAGGAAAGAGTGCTGGATTTGGGGTCATAGGATTATTGACCCAAAGCTGGAAGGGGGATCAGATGTCTTCTAACCCAATCTTATTTTATAGATGAAGAAACTGAAGTTTGTAGATGTTGTGACTTGCCTCACATCAGAGGCAGCCATCTACATTCTAAGAGTATCACACTCCTGCCTGCCCCCTCCCACCACCTTCCCTTCTTTTTCAGGAAGCCATTGTAAAATCATTATTGGAATTACTTCTGGAAAGGACATGATAATTAGTTCCCCTAAGGCTCCATTTATAATACCTGAGACTTCCCAGACCAAAACACTCCTTCTTGGCCATCATTTTTCTATGTGTGTTTTCTCTACCATTGGAATACAAGATCTTATGTTATTGTTGTCCAATCATTTTTCAGTTGTGTCTGACTCTTTCGTGACCCCCATATAGGATTTTCTTAGCAAAGATACTGGAGTGGTTTGCTATTTCCTTCTCTAGTTCATTTTTTACAGATGAGGAAACTGAGGCAACCAAGATTAAGTGACTTGCCCAGGCTCATACAACTAGTAAATCTCTGAGGCCAGATTTGATAGTCTTCTTGATTCCAGGCCCAACACTCTAATCCACTGCATCACTTATCTGCCCAATAAACCCCCATGGGGTTTTTGTATTTGTATCCACAGAACTTAACACAGTACTTGGCATATAGTAAGCCTTTATTAAATGTTTCTAATTCATTCTTTCATTGTCTAATGCCCCACAGTTCATAAGTAGCAGAGCACAGATTTGAATCTGAGTGCCATGATTCCAAGTTTATCATTCTAATTTCAGCTAACTTAACTATGCTGTCTCAGAGTACCTGGGTTTAAATCCTGGCTTTGTTAATTACTTAGTAACAACAACCCCATGAGACCTTGCATAAATCACTTAACCTCTGTATCTTAGTGTCATCAAATGTGAAATGAGGCAATTCAATAATATGACTTGTAATGGCCCTTTTGCTCTAAAATCTATGCTTCTATGATCTGTAATCCTATGATACTATGATTAGTGAAAGAATGGGGGAGTTATCTTAGAACTTATCCTTCTTTCTTTCTTCTTAATTTAGTGCTTGCAGGATTCCATTGAGTAGGATTGGGGGCAGATTGTTAGTATGGTGTTTGGGCCAAAGCCTCCAGAAAAATATATTAGAATGTGCCAACCCATTGCCACTGCTGTTTCCTCTAATTAGAAAAATTAGTATACCCTTATTTAACTGCTTGAGTCAACCCTGACCTTAGAGCAGTTTTGATTAACTTTTAAGGGGTTCCTTTATTTGTTTGTTTGTTCATTTACTAACTTTTTTTAAATACTATTTTATTTTTCCCCCAATTACATATAAAAACAATTTTAACATTTTTAAAAAAAGTTTTGTGTTCCAAATTCTATCATTAAAAGCTTCTTTTAGGGAATGCTGGGTGGCACAGTGGATAGAGCACCAGCCGCAGAGTCAAGAGGACCTGAGTTCAAATCCCACCTCACACTGAATACTTGACACTTACTAGTTGTGTGACCCTGGGCAAGTCACTAAACCCCAATTGCCTAAAAATTTTTTTTAAAAAAGGTTCCTTAAAAAAAAAAAAGCTAACCATTTTGAAGCATGTAAAGGAAACATCTCCAAATGACCAATGATAATGACAAAAACTGGCATTCAGATACCTTATTCAAGCCTGGAAATAGCATCAGAACCAAAAAAGTCAGCCAGCATCAGCCATATCCATGCATGCTCTAAACACTAGAGAATCCACCCTGAGGTCAGAGAGTAGCCCTGGGGTGGTAAGGCCCCAAACCAAGAAAAACAAATCAAGGTAGAAGGCTGTTAAAGAATTTCAATAAAAGTTGGAATTTTGGTGAGGTTGTCGTCAGCCTCACTCTCTCTTCCTGAGTCATGGAAGTCCAGTGACAGAACAAAAGTCAAGATGACCGCTGATGGTCCTGGATGCAGTGGATGGCCTTGACATCTTACATACCTGACCAAGCTCTAAGTGCTCCACAGTGCCTGTTTCAGCTGACCACAGGTGAGAGTTGGGTGAATCAGGTGGACACCACAGGCAGATGAGCAGCCCTCACACCAGAAGTTCTAGTCCTTCTGAACACTCCACACACCTGATGAGATAGTGGAAAGAACATTGTATTAGGAGTCAGAGGGTGGGGGTTCTAATCCTAGAACCTTCACACCACTTGTGTGATTGTGAAAAAATGATTTACTGTTACTCACATCAGCCTCAGGTTCTCCATCTGAAACATAAGTCGTGATAAGACCTCCTCTAAGCCTAAATCCATGATCTTTGGATTGCCCTTCAGATTGCTCATAACCACTATCATTGCAGGTAACTATTGATCCTATATACCTCCACAGGTGAATTGGTGAGCATTGGCATGAAGATGGGGAGACAGGAGGGTCATTAATAGGAGGGAAAAAAAGGGAAGATAACCAATAATACGAGATATTTAATGTAGGCATGACATACTCTTTTCTACCTCTAGGCCTTTACTCACTCCATTCCTGTGTCTAGAATGCCTTCCCTCTCCCTCCTCATCTGTTAAATTTGTATTCATCCTTTACAGGATTTTCCAGAAAGTTGTCCATTCCTAGAATCACCCTAGACTAGGGGTGGGGAACCTGATCCCTCGAAGCCTCATGTGGCCTTCTAGGTCCTCAAGTGCAGCCCTTTGACTGAATCCAAACATACAAATCCCCTTCATAAAAAGATTTGTTCTGTAAAACTTGGACTCAGTCAAAAGGCCACACCCAAGGACCTAGAAGGCCACATGTGGCCTTGAGGCCACAGGTTCCCCACCCCTGCCTTAGACTTTGATAGGCCAGCAATGACCTATCCTGTTTCTGTACCGTGCCTGGCACTGTTTAGGTAGCGTTCAATAAATTCTCTGTCTATCTGTCGAAAATCCTACTTAGCTATCTTTTAAATGAAACTTTCTTTGATTCTTGCTCCTCTGAACTCATACAGCAATTCATTCTAATGTACTTATATTAATTTTTAGGAATTGAGGATGGAACAAATCTGTGATTTCATCAGCATAAGAAACTTCTGATGTGGGATACATCGCAATCAATCGGTGAATTAACATTTATCAAGTGCCTACTATGTAGCAGGCACCGTGCTAAGCACTGAGACACAAAAAGAAATGAAAAATCCTGCCCTCAAGGAGCTCACAATCTAATAGAAGAAAAAACAAACAAATGAATATGTAAAAGAGAAACAAAAGGGAAATAAATATGTACAACCTATACACAGGATAAATAGGAAATAATCAAAAGAGGAAAGGCACTAGAATTAAGGTGGTTTGGAAAAGACTTCTTATAGAAGTATGAAGCCAGGGAAGCCAGGAAGGAGAGAGCAGGAGGGAGAGCATTCCAGGCATGAGGGCAGCCAGAGAAAACGCCCAGGGCTGAGAGATGGAATGTCTCGTTCTTCCAACAGCCTGGAGGCCGATGTCACTAGATCAAAGAGGATGTGGCAGGGAGTAAGTGTAAGAAGACTGGAAAGGTGGGGGTGGGGTGGGTTTGGCCACGAAGGACTTTAAATACCAGACTGAAGACTTAGTAATTAATCCTGAAGTCAATAGGAAGCCATTGGAGTTTACTGAGTAGGGGGTAACTTGGTTGCACCTGTGCTCTGGTGGCTGAATGGGGAATGGATTAGAGAAAGAAGAGGTAGGGCAGTGTCAGAAGAGAAGGGGAATATTTCTCAGATGTCACAATGGTGAAATGGATAGGCCTTAGAAGCAGATTGGATATAGATGGTAAGAGACAGTGATGTATTGTAGATGACATCTTGGTTGCAAGCCCAGGGAGGATAGTGTGCCCTCGACAGTAAAAAAAAACAGTAGTAGAACACAGTTAGGAGGGAGGGGGGTATAGGAGGAAATATAATGCATTCATCTTTGGACCTGTTGAGTTTAAGATATCTATTGGAATCTGTTTCAAGATATCTGAAAGGCAGATTGGTGGCGATACCTGAAAGGTGAGACTGGAGTCAGTAGAGATGTTATGGCAGGATAGGCAGATTTGAGAATCATCAACATAGAGAAAATAATTAAATCCATGGGAGCCATTGGCTTTGATAATTAAGAAATCACTAGTGACTTTGGAGAGAGCAGCTTCGGTGGAACAATGAGGCTGGAAGCCGGATTGCAAGGAGTTAAGAGGCGAGTGAGAGGAGAGAAAGTGGGGCCCTTTTCGAGGAGCTGAACTACACAGGGCAGAAAAGGTATACTATGATATTTAGAGGGAAGGTAAAGATCAAGTGAAGGTTTTTGAAGATTGGGGAGACATGAGTACAGCTGTAGATAACAGGAAAGGATCCAACAGACAGGGAGAGCTTGAAGAGAAGGGATAGAATGGGTACACAGAGGGGCAATCTGTTGTAGAAGGTGGAATGGAATGGGTTTGCTTGTGCGGGAATACAGGTTAGCCTTGATAAGTAAGATCAGGTCACCTCTTTGTGTGAGACAGGGGTGAATGAGGAGATAGTGGCAGAAGGCATCTGAGTGTTATGAGACAAGGTGGACAGAAGAAAAGGAGATCATGGCAAAGGATCCTGATTTTTTCCTGTAAATATAGGGCAAAGTTCTCATCTAAAAGGGTGGAGCGAGGGGGAGCCATGGGAGCTTTGAAAGGGGTTGAAAAGGTTTGGAAGAGCTGCTGTGGAGAGTGGGACAGTGAGTGGAGAAGGGAGGTATAGAAGTATCCTAGCAGCAAGGGCCCATTCGTGGTTGTGTAACATAAATTTGTAGTGGAGCCAGTCAAAATGGTGACATGATTTTCTCCCCCTTCATTTAGCAGCATGCATGGCAGATGGTCAGAATCACCCACAGTTGAGGCACAATCAGTGATATGATAAGGAAGTCAGGATTCAAGAGAAGAGGACAAGGCAGAGTTGAAGTGGTTCAGCAAGGGGTGAAGATGGGGAGGAGAGGAGAGTGTGGTGAGTGCAGGGAGAATGGCCTGAGAGAGAATCGAGGGTTTAGGAACTAGGGATCATGGTATAGACAAAGAATAGGATTTAGTAAGGAAAGGCAGAGGAAGAGTGGAAAGCCAATAGATTATGATTAGATAAAAGGATTTCAGAATTCTTGAATATGGATATAGTATATTTGTGGGTGATGGTAAGGTCAAGGGTAGGACCATCTTTGTATGTTGCTGAGGTCAGGTAAAGGAACAGGTCATGGTTAAGCAAGCAAGCCGAGGAACTGAGTGATTAGAGTGTTTAAGGGAGAGTCAAAATGTATGTTAAGGGGCAGTGAAGTGGCACAGTGGATACAGAACTGGCCCTGGAGTCAGGAGGACCTGAATTCAAATCCAGCCTTAGACAACTATTAGCTGTGAGACCCTGGGCAAGTCATTTAATCTTGATTGTCTCAAAAAAAATTAAGTTGAAATCTTCTAGTTTCAGTCAAGATTTGAAGAAGGGAGAAAAATTGTAAGGGAGGTAGGTACTTAATGAGGAAGGAAGAGGAATGCCCTGGAGGGTCTGCAGGTAATAGCTGTCAGTATTTTGATTGGGTGGTAGGTATAGATTTCATAAACCCTAAAGGAGGAGAGGCTACAGAGTGAATGAACATAGAGGGACATAGAGAGAAGTGGCAGTGGGGAGCAAGGAATATTGAGGTTGAAGAGGATTGGAATAAGGAATCAAGTAGTGGGTAATGAGGAATGGAGTTTGCATGATGACCTAGAAGGGATCAGAATCACTGGATATCTAGGATAGTACTAGATGGGAGAATGTTCATCATCGAGTGGAAGGTGCCACTCCTCTTCCTAGAAAAGGCTAGGAACAAATGTCTGCTGTTTATTAGCTTGGAAACTAGAAAGTTAAGTGACTTGCACAAGGTGACACAGCCAGTATTTGTCAGAATCAGAATTTGATTCCAAGTCTTTCTGCCTCTGAAACTTGTCTTCTGTTTACTACCTGATGCTACCTCTTAACATGTAATATCATGAATTACAGTTATCTCTGTTTATGTCTTATCCCCTTGTTCTAGCCTTACCTCTATTAGAGTCAGGATCATTTGTTATCTAAATTTTGTATCTCTCCTAGTGCCTAGCACAGAGTAATAGGTATTTAGTAAAATGCTTGTTTGATGAATAAATGCATTATGGGTTATTCATATAAAAAGATAATGCAGTTGACCCATAATTTATAGAACTTGGACGTGTCTTTCCAGTAGATAGATAAAGGCATACTGGTCCATCTACATTTTCCTTCCTAGTCACTTTTTTTTTTTAAATTTTTTGGAAGCAAGCAGTGTTAAATGACTTGACCAGGGTCACACAGTTAATAAGTATCTGAGGCCATATTTGAACTCAGGTTCTCCTGACTCCAGGGCTGGGGCTCTATTGACTGTGCCACCTAGCTGCTGCCCTCATTAATTTTCTAATCAACAATACACAGTGGAGCAGGGGCTGATCAAGTTTACACAGATCTAAGCCCATCTATTGCCACAGAGCTAAACAAAGTTAACTGGCACATAGAAGCATCCCTATCCCATCTTATTAACATCTTGTTCTAATTGATGACATTAATTTTGACTGGGTGATTGGTTGAATTTTCACCTTTTCAGCAGTTTCTTTTTGGTGTCTTGTAGTAGACAAACTTGGAGTCAAGAAGAGCTGGCTTTGAATCCACCTTGGACACTAGCCGCATGATCCTGGACATGTTACTTGACCTCTCTGTGTCCTCATTTTGTCATCTGTAAAATGGGGGGGTTGAACTAGATCACCTCTAAAGTCACTTCCAGCTCTAAATTAGGCTCTTATGGTCCTTTGACCTGGATTGAATTGAATCGGGTAATACTGGATCAGTAGTAAGAGTAGGAGGAAGGACACTGAAATCTGAGAATTGGAGACACCATCATCAGTCAGTCAATAAACATTTATTAAATGCTTATTATTTTCTAGGCACTACATCCATCTCGTTCAACCCTATTGACAAAATAACCCCTTCTAAAGGGAGTTAGGATTTGATAAGTGATAATTCATCTCTTGTTTGTCCAAAATCAAGACTGCTGGTTACTTTAGTCAGGGTAAAGGATGGACCCGTGAGAAGGAAATATATAGAAAATTTTAAAAAGGAAGATATAAGTTTAATAGACGTTATTTTGCCTTTCTAATGCTACACTGGAGTCTTTGGAGTGGGGTGGTAGAGGGGATGGACTCATCTTTGGGGATAACCCATTCCACCTTTAGACTGCCTCAGTTTCTAGGAAAGTCTCCCTCACATCAGGTGATACTTGCCTCTTTGAAATCTCTACCCATTGCTCCAGATCTTCCCTCTGGGACTTAGTCCTTCCTCTACATGATAGCACCTCAAATACCCAGAGACAGCTATAGTATAAACTACCTGCCCTGCCCAGTCTTCTCCTCTCCAGGTTAAATATCTTCATTTCCTTTAACTGATCCTGATGTAGTTCTGAACCAATCATAACAATGATTGACGATGATGATGGTGATAGCTAATATCTATGCAGCACCTTCTATGTGCCAGGCATTGTGCTTTATAATTACTGTCTTATTTGATTCTCTACACCTACAACAACCACCCCGGGAGGTAGGTGTTATTATTACCCTCATTTTACATGTGACGAAACTGAGGCAAACAGAGGTTAAGCAACTTGCCCAGGGTCACACAGCTAGTAAGTGACTAAGGCCAGATTCGAACTCAGATTTCTCTGACTTCAGTTCTGGCATTCTATCCACTGCACCATCTATGTACAACCAAAGAACCACAGTGACAGAAATCACATGAAGAAGAAGATTCAAAAGAAAACTTTTTTCTTCTTCACAAGACAGCACTGACTCATGACCACGTGGACCATTGTCATTGATTACTCTGTGGTCATTTGAGCAGACTACAGCCTTTTGTTTGTTATTGTTTGTCCTTCGTTCTCAAAGAGGACCAATGACATCCAGAAGGTAATGTCATGACTTGCAGGTAAATTAGATTTAAGTGAGGCAGGCCTGTGCAAAGTCTCCAGCCTCACTCTCTCCTCCAGAACCATCTGGGTCCAGTGGCAAGATATAGATCAGGACAACTGGAGATGGCCCAGCACAGCCA